GACAGGTATCTACACTGGAAACCTAGGGATCACTAGCCTATTATACACATGCCTGAGTGGCATCACCTATGGTACAAATGTGGAGGCAGAGGTGAGACCTGCAATGAAAAAGGATCCCTGCTCTCAGGAAGCTTCCATTCCACTGGAAAGAAACAGAAAGCCAGCAAATAGATGTCATCAGTCAAATGATAAATGCTATGTAGAAAAATTAAGGTGGGGAACAGGATAGAGAATGCTGGTAGGAATAGGCATGTGGACATCATTTGCTACATATGGAACCTGAAGGTCAAGCAGAATATAAGAAGTTCATGGTCACCACCACTAGTCTTAACACCATGAGATTGGATAGGATCGTTCAGGGAATGAGCATGAGAGTGAAATAAGGAAATCTGAGAACTCAGCTCAGCCCCTAGACACTAATATTTAGAGTAGAACTTATAATGACTTGATTTTAGAAATTCAAGTAGGAAGAGGAGATGAGCTGTTGGTGGAGCAGCCTTCTCTCCAAGCCACTTAAATTTGCTCAATCTTTAGGCTAGCTTGAGGTGAGAGGCCTTACAGCTATTTTGCCTAACACACATTCCTCAGACTGTTTCATCAGAAACAACTGGGGAATGTGTTAAAAATGAGGATTCTGGGCCGGGGATTTAGCTCAGTGGCGCCGCCACCTGCCCCAGAAGCTCAAGGTCCTGAGTTTGATTCCCAGTACAAAAAAACCACAAAAGGATTCTATGTTTAATCCTAACCTTACTGAATCAACCTTGGGGACCAGATGTTAAGGGGGAAAAATGTTCCACATGATTCTCATATCCACTGTGTTTGAAAATCACTGCATTAAAGACATGGAAAAACATTAAAAGATAATTAAAATGGAAGAGATATAAGGCATGGTAAGGGAAAATACTGACAGAGGCCAAATTGGAGGGCTTTAACTGAATTTTGTGGTTGCAGGGAGCTCCTAAGGGTTCTAAGGAGGGGACTCTATCATCAGATCTATGCAGAATGTGACTGAACTGGGGTGGGAAGACATTAAATGAAAATACAAATTCAGCTCCTTAAAATTATCACTACTGTTACTGTTAAGCATCAGTACTGAAACTCCAATTTGTAAAAATGTTTCAGAATGTTTTTATATAAGTGAGTTGAGATTCTGAGTTTTAAAAAATGATCTGTATTTTGTGTTGAATGAGAAGGGAAAAAAATGATTTGGAATCAAACAGGCAAATCCTTGTCAGCTTAACACCAGAATGCCAGGGATTATTTCAGAGACCAAAGGTTCATCACTGTATCTTTCAAATAGAGAGATATCTGTATGTTACATCTTACATGACTATACTAAGTGTAACAGAGAAAGAGGCCATATCTAAGACTAAGTCATTACTCCATTAGAGAGGTAGAATATACAGATATTATTAATAAAAACAACTGAAGAGATTTATCCAGAAGCTACTTGTTAAGGCATATTTTAAAATTAAAACAATAAAGCCTTTTGTGCATATAAAAAATACAGCTGACTCCATATTTTGACTTATGAAAAATAAATTTATTACATAACACCTTGTTTTTAACAATGTTCAACTTTTTTTATTCAGAATACTTGTGTCATTCATGTAAAATAGTTTGATACAGTACATTGTATGTTATAGGTTTTTTTTTCCTCAAAAATTCTAAGGCTCTCCTACTCCTTCTCCTTTGCTGAAGTAAGGGCACCCTAAACAACGTGCGAACAAGTTTGTAAAAAGAAAATTAAGTGAACAAAATTTTAATAGCACTACACCAACCAACTTTAAAATCAGGACAAAATATCTGAATTGGATGCCGCACCTTTTAAAGGAAGTTATCATTCATGCTTTTTTCATCTTAAAGCATGCTCACAAATCAGCAACACCAACAGGAAAAATAAAACACTGTCTATGACATTCATTTTAGTTTGTTTGCTGAACCAAACAGGTTTCTATCAATGACAACATATTTAATTACTATCAAATAGCAGCTTTAATACCAGTCAAGTCATAGATTGAAAATAAAAAACTTCTAAGTTGGAAATTAATCTTTGGGAGTTTTGAAACCTTTCTGGAAAAACTGTGGCTTTGTGTACTTTCAAAAGAATCCGAGCAATATCCTTGGTCAAAAAAACACTGATTAATGTAGAAAATGAATCAGCCCACCAATAAGACACTAAAAAGAAAGGTGTACCAAAATAATCTCATTTTGAGTCTTGGTTATTTTGAGTTAACATATACTGTTTTTTTTCAAGTACCAGTTAAACTTTGTGTCTGTGTGTACTATTGGTCAGATAATGTTGTTACACTGAAAAGTCACCACATACAACAACAAATGCTTGCCCCTAGCACATTTCACAGCTTCAACTGCTACAGACTGTCACTGAAAAAAATGCATTGGTCAGTCTGAACCATGTCAAGTAAACTATGGAAGTAGCAAATCCACAACACAAACTGTGCTAGCACTTTCTTTTCAAGTCTAACTCCAAAATAGGTACAACTTGGAAGCCACTACCCCAATCTGTGAAAAGTGGTGGAACTTGGCTACTGGACATTTTGAAGATGTGGTTGTACAGTACATTCTCATGGCCCATACCAGGTTCCTGCGGAGAGCTGCACAGTCAGCCCTGCAGCATTAGCAACAGTGCATTGACAAGATTCCGATGCAGCTCAGTACCGATGTGTCTGATGTGAGTACTGTGGAGGCTGCTGGGAGGTAGCTGAGTATCCCATGCTGCTCTGGGGCTGTGATGTGCTTGGTCCAGGGTTGGGATAGGCAGCATGTGGATTGGAACGCTGGAAAGGAGATGAGGGAGAAATGTGACTCAAGCGCTTCAAGGAGTACCTAGGCCCCAAGCAGCAAGGCTGAGGTGGGATTGAAGTGTCTTTATGTTTCAAGGAAGTAAGATGTGTCAATTTGTGCTAGATACTAGCTTTAGAATTAAATGACAAAAACAAGCACACATGCACCCACGCACGCACACACACACACACACACAAACACACCACCCAAATCCTTTAACATTATCTTTTTTTAGTAAAGTCAGAAGTAGTGCATAAAAATAGTAAGCTGTGCCTTATCATGTTATGCAAATAAAATATTTTCCCTATAGCAGTAACCCCTTTATATGCTGCATTGTATCTACTTGATAAGTATTAATTTGCTTGAGAAGCTTATACTCAAGTTTAATGATGTATACACTAAGAAATTCAAAGCTAATTTATATGCTTATTTCTGAAACAGAGCCCCTCAACACCCACATGACTAAAAAAAATGATATTACAAGAAAAGGTATCAGAGACTCAATTCTATTGAGATTAAAATATTTTAACATCCTTTAAACTATTCAATCTTATTTTCTTTTACAAGTTTATATAGAAAAGTGAAAATCGAAATGCAAGATGAGTACTATTTTCAATTCTGCAAAAAAGCAAAGAATAGTGATATGGAGTACTCTAATTTTGATCTGTCATATTATTATTTCCTTTCCTGTATTTCTTTTGTATTATTAGCTCCCAAGACACTGTTCGAGATTAGCCATAATTTATTCTCATTCAAAGCATATTTAATGCCATATAATTCTAAATTCTGCCAATCCTAGCAAAAATAATATTTGAAAAGAGTGGACATATGAAGCTGTAGTTAGAAATAGTACTTCTGAAATCACTTTCCAAAACAAATAGCAATAGCACCAACGAAGAGCGGAGGATCATTTTCTTGGTTTCAGAAGCAAAGGTTAGAATGCTATTCTGCCTCATCCTACATATGTTGTCCCCTACAGTGTGCAAATGTGCTCTTGAGCCAAGAGAGATGCACCCTTCCCTACTAGTGGGGAGAAAAAGATGCTGAAGCATACACGAATTCCTACAATCTCTCTCTCTAAGTTTACTGTTTAGCTAACTGGAAGAGTTACAAGTCAGGCAAAAAGTTCCATGATGTGGTAGGCAGGATCTCTCCTTTAACCAAAGCAAAAAGCTAATACATAATTCTAGAAGGACGTTAATATAAGTATTCAGAAGATATGCTTCTCTTTTTGTAGGTAAAAAAATGAATTGGCCAGGTCTGTATTCTTACCACACTAAAACATACTTTAGTTGGGAAATGATGAGAATATACAAAAGAAAAAGGGAAGTGTTATACAATGTTCCAAACAAGTATTTCCACAAAGGAACTGACAATATCACATGACAGGACCCATAAGTAGGTTAGGGAGAAGCTTGTGTGGTCAAATCTGTTTTTTGAGTATCAGATTTACTACTGGCTCACTGGGTGACCGAGCAAAACACATTTAACCTCTGCCAGCCTCAGTTTCTTGAAATGACAATGGTACCACTTACATTCCCTGAGTTATCATAACGATAAAAGGAAACTATGGACATTTCATGCTTAGTATAATAGCTGGCAAATAGTAAGTAGTCATTAAGCTGTTATGATTACGGAATCATCATTACCATCAATACCACCATTAATGATATTCATTAAGAATTTTAATATTTTTAATGATAACTGGTATCATCTATTAACTGCTTTAGCCACTATGCCTTAGTATACATCATCCCATTTCATTCTTATCACAGACTCACATTTATCATTGTTCATATTCTGCAAATGATGACACTAAGAATATCTGAATCACTGACTATAAGCTAATGCTGATAAGGTACACCATGTCTAATGTGACAACACCTCCAAGTGAGGTTTTACTAGTCTCATTTTACAGATGAAAAAACTCTATAAATTCTATTTCTTGTCTCAGGTCACAAGTGAATAAATGGCATAATTTGAACTTATTATCCCAAGTCTGACTGGTTCAGAAGTCTGATCCCTACTATACCACTGGTATTACTTTCCATGACCATAACATTCCATGCCACTGTATTTTCCCACTTACACGGAGGTCAGTATTTCTCAATCACATACATTTCATTTTTCCAATGGTCACAAGGCACACTGCAAAAAGTGATATGGCAGGTCAATACAAAACAAACACGAAATACCTGATAGTCTGAGGTCATGATTAGTCCACCTGAGGTAGTGGTAGGAGGAACAACTCTCACTTTTTTCAATGGGGGTCCCTGTGTATGACTGCTGTCTTGGTTCCCTGGGTGGCCAGTTCCATTAGTGTGGTTATTGCCCTGCTGCGGCTGCTGGTTCTTCTCAATTGGTTAAACAGAGAGAAAATTCAACTCAGAAGGAGAACAAAATACAGCCACACTGAGAATGTCAAGGAAGCGGTCATGAACAAGATGTTGCCAACTGTACTTTAATACTTACTTTGTCTCCTTTGTCATCAGGTTCTTCTTCCGTTAAAAATTCTCGCTTTGGGTAAGGGATTTGACAACCGGCAAAAACACTGATCACAAGAAAAAAACAACAAAAATGATTTCCAGAGCACTAATCAATATTTCAAATGCTTTATTCAGGTGGTTTTCATTTTACTCTTCTAAAATAGATGTTATCTCTATCATTTTCAAAGATAAGCACCTTTCATGCAACTGTGATGGAATGAATCTTTTTAACAAATGATATTTTAGCAGGTTCTTTCAATCTTTGATTGTATAAAAATAATCAATAATCATCTAATATGACTCAACTCTTCTTTTATCCTAGTATTAATCTTTTATTACTATAAATCAAAATACAGGTTTCAGCTGGAATGTGTCACTGTTTAAAGCCATTTTTTGTTTTACTAATATTCCCCTCTATATTTAAAACAAAAGTTAGTATTAGAAACACAAATTTATTTGGGAATGATATTTGCAGTTTTAGAACACAAAACTAATTACACGCAATAGGTAATCTCAGCAAATCTGAAGGAGACATAGCATGCATAATCAACGTGTTGATAACTGGATTACTGCTGAAATGAATGTTGTCAATATTTCATAAAGCAAGAGATGAATAGGAATGCCTCTTATCCATTAAGCCTCCAAATGACAACTTTAATCAGCAGAGCTCAATTTTTTCTTACCATAAGGATTTCCTTGGGACCCCCATCTAAGAGAAGTAGCAACTTAAGAGTTGATAACTAAAAGAATGTTCCCAAAATAGCATCATGTTGGTGAGTTAATGAATTGATCACTTACTCTGATGTAGGAAGTGGGTCTTCTAAGAAATAGGGATCCTGCATAGCCTGTTCTGAGGTAATCCGCTTTATTGGGTCCATGGTAAGCAACTTTTGAAGCTGAAACCATAAATCATAAAAATATTAATGCATTATTTGTCAGAATTACCTGTTAGCAGATGTGGAAGTGGTAAATGTTTTGGGTGTGTAATACTTAATACCATAATATAGATGGTATATTCATTCCCCAAATGAACAATGATTAAACTCTTGTTATTAAATTAGATGTAATAACTCACATATTAATTTCCATAATCATTATCTCACTTGATTCTGACTCTAAACCAATTATCTTGCCCCCTTCATTATCAATATTACTTACTCAATTTAGAACAAGACTAAAATTCTTGTATTTTCTAAATTTTTTTCTATGAAGATGAAAAACTTTTCCAACATAAATGATACACTAGCCACATGTGGCTATTTAGATTTAGATCCAAATTCAGTAAAACTGAATTAAATTTTAAGAAGACCAGGTGCATTTATGTAGCTACATAAATGAGTACTACATAGTGAGTAGCTACATAGCGGACAGTGAAAATCACCACAAAAAGTTCTGCTGTACTAGTCCACATAATACAATACACAACTTGTAGAGACTCTGGAAGTAGACTGCTTGATTCAAATCCTAGGTTCAAATAATCCTATTAGTGGAGTAATGTTAGGTAAGTTACATAACCTCTATGTAATCCTATTTGTCAAAATGGAGATTAAAAACAGTACCTACTATCACAGTTGTTTTCAAGATTAAATGAATTAATATATGGAAAGTAATGATAATGGTGCCTGACACAAAGTAAACACTATTCCAGGTATATTAAAAAATAAAGATGTGGTTTTAAAAAATAAAATGGAGTACTACTCAGCCATAAAGAAGGAGAAACTAGACATTTATAGCTAAGTGGATGCACACTGAGGCTATACTCAAGTGAAATGAATAGGACACACATGTGTAAATACCAAGTAGTTTCTCTGGTGTGAAAAATTAAAAGTGTGAGTAGAGATCAAAATGTATAATTGATACTGTGAAATAGAAAGAAAAGGTCTAAAGGAGTAGGGGAACTGGGAGAAGTACGGGAAAGGAAAAAATATGAGAAAAGGAAAAAAATGGAAACAAAGTCTATAAATAAGGAAGGGTAGAGGGGGTGAACAGAGGGCAGGGGAATGGGAAAAAAATAACCAAGATATATCATGTAAAGGTACAAGATCCCAATGATGAATGTAACTGTATTGTATACCTAAAATGTACCAATAAACTTTATGGAAAATACTTAATTTTTAAAAAAACTTACTATAGTAAAAGACATTAGTTCCCCTCAAAATACTCCCCCTTACTTTGAACACACTTATCCCATCATTCTTGCCACTTTCTGAAGCAGCTGTAGAAGTCTTCTCTTATGAGTATCTTTAGTTGCACTGTTGGAATTGCCTAAAATGTACTGAACTGATTCAAAATGTTTACCTTTTGTGGTTATTTTTACTTTGGGGAAGAGCCAGAAGTTGCACAGTGCCAGATCCAGAGAGTACCATGGAGAGGAAACACCTAATGTTTTTACAAGCCTGCTTTTCTGTTTCTTGGCATTTGATATAAGTATTCACCTTATTTTTGCTCGTACCTCATAAAGACACTATGAAAAGTAGACTTCCAGAACTGTTTTAGAAAGTGGCATGAACAAGGACAGTATTAGAACCAGGGGGAGAATTCTAAAGGTGCTTAATATCAAATGTATCTTTTACAAAAATAAATTTAGAAAACAAATTTTAAACATTCACCATATATTTTCATCAACCCTTGTTAAGTATTAGCTATTCTAATTATTATTGCTACATAAAGAATGTCATTCTAATAATGGAGATTCAGTATTTTTCAGTTAAAACACAGCTACTAGAAGGCTTTATAGTTCTAATATATAAGAAATTGTCTACATTATGGTCTCTTAGTTATAACTTATAGTCTTTGACTTAATGCAGTGTTTTCAGATAGCAGACACTAAGCAGTTTTAGTGTGCAACAGAATCACCAAGAAGACAGCAGAATCACCAGCAGACTGCTGGATTCTGCTCCCAGAGTTTCTGACTGGTAAGTCTGGGCAGAAGTCCAAGAACCTGGATTTCCAGCAAATTCCAAGGTGATACCTCTGCTGCTGAAATGAGACCACAGTTTGAAAATCGATGCATTAACATATACATTGAGATTTAATGGAAGATGACACAATTTAGATAACAAAAGAACGTAGTAAGATATTTAAAAATGCAGATAAAATGCTGGGATGGTGAGATTCAAATTTAATTTAATGATCTGGTATTTCAATTAAAACCTATTTTTATTTTCTGGGTGGGTCAAAGGTGGGAACCTGGACCTGCCAATGGCAAGTATTTTTTTTTTTTGGTGCCGGGGATAGAACTCGGGATCTTGTGCTTGCAAGGCAGGCAGCAGCACCACTGAGCTAAATCCCTGGCCCAGTGGCAAGTATTTTTAAAATGAATACTCAACACATAATAAGATTTCAATGAAGTTTTCAGATGGGGCCACCAAGATTACCAGTATTTAAGCCAGGACATGTCAGTAAATACAAGCAAATAAGCTATAAGCAAAGAGTATTTCTGTAAGAGTTTCAATGATGATGACAGTGAGAGTCACTTTAGACTATTATGAGTGGCAGGTACTTGGGGAAGGTAGAGTAACTCCCCTAAACCAGTGACAGTGAACCTTTTAGAGATGGGTGTCCAAACTGCAACCCAAAAACCCACTTATTTATCACAAAAGGCCAACACTGCAATAACATCTAAATACTGAGGTTTTAGTTTAGAAAAAACAACTATACATTAACAACCTTTGTCTTAAAAGAAAAACAACGTATGTGCCATGGGTTCACTATCATCGCCCTAAAAAATTACTTTTAGTCAATCATCATTATCATTATTTTGTTAGAATAAGTTCATAATTTTGAATGATCTAATTTAACTTTCCAATTTGGGTCCTGTTGTAAGCACATAAGAATAAATCATATGAATAATACATTGTGTGGTACTGTGACATGTTAAGCACTGCTTTTTAAACTGCTCATAGATACAATATACATGATATAAATATGACATGGTGTATTAGCAAGTGGAAGACGCAGAAGCAGAAGCAATAAAGGGAGAAGAAAAAAAGCAGAAATGATTGACAAGTGGTTTGGTTTCTATAAAGGAAAGTTTAACCCTTTCAAGGTAAAAGAATTTCCACTTAAGAACAGCTGGGAATAAAGACTGAAAAAATTTTAAGCCAAGCAAAAACTTGCTTCCCTAATTCTTTTTATATTATAAACCGCTTTTTGAAAATATAAAACTGAAAAACATTTAAAATTATAATAATGTAGCAGTAGAAATTTTATTGCAAACAAATTTAAGTTGGCAATAACTGAATATAATCTTATTATAAATTACCTTGCTAGTGCATGGATTCATTTAAATTCTAAGTCAAGATATTTCTCCATTACACATTGATAAATATTCCATCTTTCACACTCTTCCAGAAAAAGCAAAGAATATATACCATTGATGAAAGATACCTAATATTAAGTTTATAAGAGGTATTTTGGGAGGTAAAAAGACTTTAATCAGTCTTTCAAGACTTGAAATATAGGATAAATTACATTATTTCTGAGTGGCAGAATTGTTTTCTCTTTATACTTTTCTGAAATTCTTAAAATTAAAAAAACTGGTGAAAAATAATAAATTTAATTTAAAAAATTTCTTCACAACAAGGGAGTGAAGGGAGGGGAAGGTGAAAGGAAAAGAGGGAAAGGAAAAACTATGAGAAAAGAAAAAAAAATGGAAATGAAATCTATGTAAATAGGTAAGGGTGGAGAGGGTGAAGAGCGCACAGGTAATGGGGAAAAAAATAAGAACCAAGATATATCATGTACAGGTACAAGCACCCAATGATAAATGTAAATGAATTGTATACCTAAGATGTACCAATAAAACATATCGATAAAATTAATTAAAAAAAACATTCTTCACAAATTTGTTACAATTATTATCTTTTTCTTTTTGGTACTGGGGAATCAAACTCAGGACCTTGTGCTTGTGAGGCAGGTGCAGCGCCACTGAGCTAAATACCTGGCTCTACAATTATTATCTTTTTTTTTTTTATTTTGGTACCGGGAATCAAACTCGGGTCTTTGCGCTTGCGCAGCAGGCGGTGAAACCACTGAGCTAAATCCCCAGCCTTACAATTATTATCTTTAGAAAAGCTGAAGACATCAAACATTAATCTGTCAAACCATGACACAGGTTTGGAAAAACAAATATTTTGATGGCTTCACTGGTATGACCCAACTCTGCATTTACTACTGAAGTATTTGACAAGTGCTAAGTAACCATATAAAATGACTCAACAAAGCTTTAGTTTGGGCTAGTCAATGGGGGGTGGGAATGCATTTCATTAGTAATGTTATCAAAGCTTACCAAGTGGAATGCTTTACTATCCGGTTTAACTTTATGTTTTTCCATATACTTGATAAGGCTGCAGTTGGTATACCTGAAAAACAAATATTATGAAATATCTATATTAGAGATTAATTTGACACTGGCTACTATCCTTCCAAATAGTTATTTTTATAACTGACATAATATATACAAAAAATGATATGATCAGCATCAAAAGTAGCATTAAATAAATTTTATATTTTATTCACCATCTACAGTAGTCATGTTTGACTGGCTATCAATGATTAAGTGTAATACAATTTATGATTAACATACACTGAATATGTTTTCTCACATGAATTATATCTTAACAATTGTTTTAAATACCTGGGCCAAAAGTTTAATTTAGCCTTATCATCAAATTCAAAATACATTTGTTATATGTTTATAAATTGGACTATACTGATCCCTGACCTTACATCATAAATAAATATTAATTTTTCTCTTATTAAAACTTATATAAAATTACTACACAATCTATGTGGTAGGCAAGTAGATATTAGTAAGGTTTGTTTAATTTTATTTCTCCAGCTGTGGTACTTCCCTATAATGTCTAGCTTCCAAGAAAGTTGTAAATATGGAAAGAAATGAGTTGATTTTTTTCTCACATTTAAATCAGCTGTTAATATTAGTCACCTTCTCTATATCATCCCTTTAGCATAAGAAACAAAGACTGACATAAAATATTAAGAGTAAATAAGTAAAATTACTTAGTAAGTAATCTTATGTTTAGTATTCCATTGTTTTGTATATTCAATTTTATACTGAGTATTCTGAAAAGTTAGAATCAGCAAAGGGTCCATTTTCTTTCCAACTTACGTATTTCTTCTGAAATCTTTCATTAATGTTGAATGTTCAGGCATCTTTTTTATATCTTCCCAATCTTTATCTGTGAAATACATTGATAAATTTTTATGTTACTTAGGTTCCTACTTTCAAGAATTTTAACAAATATTACTTGTATTTCATTAGGTTTTATAACTTGTAAACCTTTATAAAAATCCAGACTTCAAATAAATTCTCTGCTATAGCAAACATCCCAAACTGTAAATACAATTCGTGATCTCTTTGTAGCTTTGATATCACTATTTATCTTTTTAATTTTAAACTACTTATTTTCTCTCTGTTTACTATAAGCTGCTTCAATTTTATCACTAGAAAGGGATAAGTTAAAAATAACTATTGTTAGTCCTATTTCTACTAGTAAAACCATTTATTTTCCCCTTTCCATCAAATCTCTTGGTTAAATCAGTAATCACTATCTTCAACGAGAAATCCAAGATCTTTCCCCTCACTGGCTTTAAGATACACTTCTCTTTATGATATGACCACTCTTTTATCTTAATAAACACATTTCTTGACATTAGTGATCAAGGTAAGTAGTAGTAACTGTTGGCAGTAGAATAGGGTGGGATATAATCAGTATATTAAGTCAGTTGGTACGTTAACTGGTTCCAATATTATTACTCAACATAACTCAAGCTAAGAAATACATTAAGTACAAAAGTGTTTCAAATTTGCCTGCACTGGACCTGCTCAAACAATGTAAGTTAGCTAACTTTCTGCCATCATTGTCAGGGAGCTGTTACTAACAGTCTACTAGGTGTCCAGCATTGTAGCAGGTAGCTTAACAGCACCTTTAGCTTTCAAGTGCCTTAAGAAGTTTGCTAGCTTTTGAACTTGTTAAAACATTTGCTCCCTATCATCTACAGAGATCACATAACTTAAGCTCCTAAATAGGATTTTTTGGGGGGGGGCACGGGGATCGAACTCAGGTCCTTGCACTTGCGAAGCAGGCAGCAGAACCACTGAGCTAAATCCTGGTCCCTAAATAGAATTTTTGCCTTAACTATTTCCAATTTCTTTATTTTGCCAATTTTTCAAGGTAGAAATGTTGAGGTAATCCTTCAGTCTTCCCTCAATTACACATGGCCTCCTAAAAATTATAAATCTGTCCTTTATTCTCCATCCTTACTATCACTTTGTGGCTGTGGGACTGCTATGGCAAGCAGCTGGTTTCCTGACTTTGGCTACCTCTTTAACTGATTTTTACATACCACTGTTACACTAATCTTTGTGGAACAGAACATAAATCACATATTTAATACTCAGGAACTTATTACGGATTCTTATTCTGCATGGTATCAGATATAAATTCTGTTGCTTGCTTTTCAGGGCTTCTTATAAACTGAGGTCACCCTAACTGCTGACCAACCATGTCCCTCTCCCTGTGGGCCTCAGAAATAGTGGACAAATTAAAAAACAGGAATAAAAGGCCATTCCTCTCTATCTACTCAAATAACAATCTATTTTTTAAACATTCTACTGGTGCAATGCAAACTCCAAGAGGGTAAGAATCATATTATTGTACCAACATTTTTTTTACTCAAGACAGTATCCGACATGGTAGGTACTCAATAAATATTTAGCGAATAAATGAAAATCCAGTCACAACAAAGTGGTATTCCCAAAACTATAAACAGTTTTGGAGAAAGGCAATATCTATGTAGGTGTTCTGCATTTACTGATAATTAACACCCTTACAGAGAAATATAGAATGAAAACTCCCAGACATTCTGTATGAGTCTTGAGTTATAGTGATCTGAGAAATATTCCTAATAAGATAAAATTGCTATTAAGTACTTGACTAGCCAGAATTATTTAGGTTTTTTAAACAAATTTTCGTTATTCTGGACCTCTAGACAGTTTGTGGTGACTGATGAATTGCCATGCTGTGGTATAACTAGAAGTTGGGACAAAGGTGGAGAGATGTAATGTTAGGGATGGGACATCTATACATTTTGTCCCTGTTGCAAAGCAGTGGGCTAACTCATTATGAAGTACTATGACTTTCACCCACTTCTTGTCCTAAGAGAACAATTAAAAGAATAGACTTATAGACAAGGGTTAGAAGGCAAAAATTCTATTTGTCAGTAAAATGTGATTTGGTACAGTGACCTATATAGGAGTAATACTCAAGATTGGTATTCAAATGCCAAGTAATGACAGTATTAAATGAGCTGCTGGAAAAAAGATTCCACTACTGATTTTATAGCTTCTATTGGTAAGAACAAAAGGCATCTTTTTAATAGAGATATTATGAAATTTGTATCATTTCAAATATCAAACAACAAAAAAAAGCAAACAAAATGAAACAAACAAAATTCTCAAATTCAGGAAACCTATAAATATTTTCATGCTAATATGTGAATTCTACAAATTTTGCGGACTATTGCTGTGAATTTTTGATAAATGCCAAGTCATAAAAATGAAGAATCAAGTAAGAGTAGCTTTCATCAGCCAAAAATATATACCTTTCCATTAAAGATATCTAAGTTCAAACAACAGTGATTTAAAAATGAAAACAAAATCATAACGTGTACCTGCAGGAAATCCCATTACATTGAATATTCTGTCCAGCTGGTCATGGTGATAAGGATTACTAGTTTTGATGTCCTCTTGTCGACAGTGAAATATTGGTTCTGACGTTAGTAGTTCTGCAAATATACACCCTATAGCCCAAATATCTTTAAAATAAAAAGAAAAAAAAGAAAAAAAGAAAAAAAGGAAAAAGGAAAAAGGAAAAAGAAAGGAGGAAAATAAAGTGGTTCTTTCCAAAAGAAAATGCATTTTTATTTTGGTGGGGAGTGTTTTTTTTTTTCCCTAATAAGACATATTAATTCCTAAGCAATTATAATTACTAAATATCATGGAACATTATAAATATATATATACACACATATATATGTATATATATATGTGTATATATATATACATATATATATATTTTTCCACCCTACCCACCCAAATTTTTCATTCCCTGTTAACCTCTATCCCACCCAGTGGCTTCATTCTAAGGCAAATAAAACTTATTAGCTGGGTTTTCAGTGGGTTTTTAATGCCTCGAACATTAACTTTATTATGAAATACATATAAAACTGCATATGGAGCAAGGGAACCACAAACAAATAAAACAAAAAAGTAAAAAGAAAACACAAACAACCTTTGAAATTGGGCCCTTACCAAAAGCAATCAGTAAAATTCTTGTGATAACTTTATCTTATTTGAAAATTCTAATAATTATTTTCTCTTGCTGCCACTAATTAGCAAGGTATTATTCTAATGAGAAAAAGGCAATGCTTGATCTCAAATACTCTGATAAAACAGTATTTCTACCTGGACAGTTTTTCTTTCAATGTGTTTTTTTATGCTGTAAGTGTCCACTTTTGTAAACTGAAGTATTTAGTAAGCAGGACAACAAAATATAAACATATTAAACACATGAAAGCCCATCTACTACCATTAATATGGCTATGAAGGCTGTAAATTAGTAAGAATTATTTACAATACTTGGAAAATGTATTTTTTTGTCTGCAACAAAGTAAATTCTCTTCATTGACAAGGTAACAGTTAACTTTGACTAATATTAAATTTGTGTTCAATAGAACCATTAAAACAGGCAAGGCCTACATGCCAATTTAAAATATGAAGCTGAAAACATTAGATTTCTACTCTTAACAAAACCTTAAATTGAAAATGTTATTTTCCCTACACTGAGTACAATGTTGTGCACACAACAGATACTTAATAAGTGGTTTTTAACTAATCTAAATAATACCTGCAACAAACATAAATAATCATAGTGTCAAGCAACATCACTATTTTCTTGAAGCTGATTAGTAACTATCACTTACATAACAGATGAGAAAAAACTGATCTATAAGTGAGAATTCCTGAACTTCAAAATTGGAACCCAGACATTTAATTTAATGTAAAATAATCATATTTACATTTCAGAGTAACAAGTTAATAATCTATACATAAAAGTCACACTCTGACCAAAAGTAAGTGATTTTTTAAAAAAAATGACACCAGTTTTGCACATGGCTACCCCCTATAAATCTGATATTTCATAATCTTAATGCCAGATAAGCAAGCTAAATTAAGCAGGATCATAAAAAGGAATGGTGGATCATTTTGCATGTTTAAAACTCTACTCATGAAACACTCAAGACACTGTAACAATTTGTTTACCTACTAAAAATTCCAAAAAGAAAATTAAATATGTAAAGGAATATGAGAAAAAAATTTAGTTATCATAAAAACTACACTGCTTTTAATATAAAGTCAGGTAAGTAGGAAAGAGTAGTTTATTGACTCCTGTTTAACCCTGCCCCAAACCCTCCCTCTTTATATCTTCTATTATCTCTCACTAGTACCAGTTTCACTACCCTTTTCTATAAAATCCTTATCTAGACATTAATCATGAGTTAGATGATTGGGTTTTTATTTCAGAGAAATTTCTAATTCATGCAAGTCTCTCCTTACGACCTTGTATGTATTTCTCATATTCTTTCCTGCTCACTTCCCTACTTAACTCCTTCCAGGAAGGCTTTCCAAATTAAGAACATGTAAAGCCCATCCACATCTCAGGTGTGTAATGCTCTTATATAGCTACTGAACTAATCTGGCAAAGTAGCTAGTAATTGGCACATCCCAAATTGAGAGGGAAAATTTGGCAAATATTTTAATCCATAGGTGCTTACAGCAAGGTTTTATCTTGATAAAAAACAGAAAAGTTCCCATCCTACTGCATATTCTTCTCTTAGAAGAAAGCTACCTAACAGAGTGTTCAGCTATTTGAGGATGAATTTAAAATTTAATATTGCTTTGGTGATGATTAATTAGAGGTTGACTATACCTCTCTTTCAGCCCTCTCCTCAGAGTTAATTAAACAAATATTAATAACAAACAAAACACTTAACAATTAATTAAACTTTGTCCCCAGGATTATGTTTCTTAGCCTCTCTCCCCTCTCCCTCTCCCTCTCCCCTCTCCTCCTCCCCGTCCCCCTCAGGTTTAATGACTCAGCTTGCAGTCTGTACAACTGAGTAAATGACCTCACCCTAAATTTGTTTGTAGTAGAGGGTAGGAACATACTAGTTTGATGGGTCCAGATCAGATTTTTGCCCTATGTTTTTGCTCCTTCTTAGTAGCCCTTAGTTTAATACATCCACTCAATTCTAACAGATTTAAGCCTTCTAAATGATGAGTTTAAAATTAACATGTGAATGCCTTCAGCAAATTATATGTGCATTCAACTACAAGGGTTCTTCTGTTACCTGTTTACGCTACAGCTACCAGACAGGGAAGTCAACATGCTAAGAAAGTTCTTGGTGGGAATATGCTGTGTGCTTTACCGAGCAAACATTCAGACTACCTCACAGATAAGATGAAGAATGGGAGCATGTGGTAGAGGCTGAAATACAGGAAAGTTCCATTTTTACACTACCTTACTCTTAGTTTTTAAATCATATATCAAAAAATGGAGTGTGTATGATTTCTCTGAAACAAAGAACAGTCAGTTAGATAATTACATCATAACTTTTGTTTTGATTTGGTTTTATGAGACCAGGGTCTTACTATGTGGCCCAAATGGCCCTCAAACTCAATCACTACCTCAGCCTTCCGAGTGCCGGGATTACTGACAAGTGTGCACTACCACACCTGGCTTTCCACTATAAATTTCTGAGTCAATTTTTTTTTTTTTTTTTTTTTTTGGTTCCAGGGATCGAACTCGTGTCCTTGTGCTTGCGAGGCAGGCAGCAGAACCACTGAGCTAAATCCCCGGCTCAATGTTTTGATAGAAGCAAAGTGTACTCCAAGACTGATCCAGGCCAAATCAGACCACCATTGCTGAAGAAATGGCACTGACACTGATTTTAATCATTTTCAGCTATGTTGGCTCCCTCTGTAATTTCCCTACTACATAAAGGGCAGGTATTTCTATCTAAAGCCATGGAACTCTTAATAGTTGAAGGGGATCTAAGAAGTGATTCAGGCTAAATTCTCATTTTCAGAAAATGAAGCTTAAGGACTAAATATTGCACTTAAACACTGTCCCTAGACAGAGCTAAGAGTAAACTCAAATGATCTTTGCTACTTCCACTGCTCAAAGAGGGCAAAGTTGTTTTACACATCTATTCATATTACCTCAAGTAGACAGTAAACTTCTTAATGGTAAGGCCCATAATTTGCATTCATATTGGTTTCTCCTGAATTTTAAAAAGTTTTCATAGTATTTCCCCTAATTTTGATGTAGGTGAGGAGTAAAAGGAGGGAGATAAACATGAAAATAGGCCTTCTCTCTCCCTAGTTATACAGCTATGGGAACATGGGAATCTATCTTTCTAATCCCTGGTAGTTTTGCTTTGTGGCACACAGCTTGCACTAAAACTTCTGGACTGAAGAATGTCTTAGTAAGTAAAAGTTATATGAATTTTCATAATGTTCCCAATAAAAAATAAGTATCTTAGGAAAAACAAGATAATGAGCTAGAGCCACAAGTTTCTGTGGTATTATTATTTTTTACTCAATTCAAATCAATTCAAAGTCTCAAGTGGTCAATCAACTGAAGCTAATATTAATATTCATTTCCTTATTTGTATAGTCTGTTACTATGTCGTATAGAAAGTAACAATGCTTTGGAACAGTCATTTCCTAGGTGGAACAAATTTTTTTAGGAAATAACGTATTCAAAAATAGGACTGGCTTAAATAATTTTTACTTTTCCTTCTAACTAGTATTTAAAAAGAAATATATTTTGGAATAATTTTAGATTTATAGAAAAGTTGCAAAGACAGTGGAGAGAATGCTCATATTTAACTGACTGATCCATGTATTTATTTTTCTATAAAATAAAATTTGATCTCAAAGCAGGTTTGAAGACTAGTGAACACAAAATTTTTGAAAGATGTTCTGGATTCAAGATTAATATGGAAGAGTGATCACATGTATTTATCCTTTTCTCTTCTAGAAGCTACGTTAAAATGACAGTAGAGTCCTAAGAGTGTAAATTCAAATAACAAAATGGATAGGAAGAGACTGTCAGGGACAAGAATCATTCATTTATTCAAAAGAGAAATGAGTTCTCACTGTACACCTGGCAGGCATTGGCTTCCAGTAGTGAACAGCAAGATGAGATCTATCTGTCTTGGTGGATTCTGGATATGTTCAAGGCAACACAGACAATAAGGGTGGAAGTATAATAGTGGGAGAGGAGGGTTACTTTACACTGTGATTGAGGAAGTTCTCTGTGAAAAGGTATTTTGACTAAAAGAAGAAACTGGCCATGTGAAGAACTGTTCTAGGCATAAAAACATTTCTAGAAGGTGGAAGGCAATGAAACAGTTCAAAGAAAGCCTCAGTCCACAGTACTGCTGTTCAGTGGAAAGTACATTTGTCCTACACAACTCTGGGAAGGTTTTGTACCAGGAAATACCAGTTATAAAGTCAATCTTTAATCAATAGATCTTCTTCCCCACTCTCTACTACTGCCCTGGGCTGCCACTGAGTTTAGGCCAAAAGTTGAGGGAATTCTTTCCTGAAGACTTTGAATGGCCTCATAGCATAGACTTGTGCATTCCAGCATTTCGGATTTCTCTGGGAAATGGTAGCCTGCTGTTGTACAGTGTAGTCACCAATCTGTCAGTCCCATAAAGTATACAAAATTTCCAAGTGGTTTTCTGTAAACTAATTCTTAAATAGACAAGTTGAAGGTCACCAAACAGTTAAAGAATACTTGCCATATGGAAGGGAGAGATCAAGACATACACATGAAAAGAGAACCTACAAAGAAAACAGCTAACTATTCTGGGTATATATAAATTACAAACAAAGAAGCACTGTCCTCACAGATATTTGAGAAGCTTTTTTCCCTCACATAAAACAAGATCTCATGAAAAAGTAAAAATCAGAAAAAAAAAGAATTCCTAGAAAAGAGAAAGAAAACCATGGGCAAAAAAGTAGTATAAAGAATCAATTCAGGAAGTTCAACATCTGACCACATTGAGTTTAGGATGAGAGAGTAGGAAATACTGAGGAGGAAACCAAAAGACAACACAAGAAAATCTTCCAAAAACACAAGATATGAACTGCAGACTGTGCCCACCAATTGCTCAGCAAATCACTGTGAAATGTGAAAACCGGAAGTCCTTGTTTGTTTTCAGAAAGGAATCCCACCTCCCAGGTGACTGAGCAGTGTCTGAAAACAAGATTGACATGAGACTTCATTAGCTACACTGATTCTACAAGACAAAGTACCAAAGTTCAGAGGGACTATGATTTAGTACCTACAATTAAAAACCTTGCCTATTGGGCCGGGTATTAAGTTCAGTGGTTCCGCTGCCTTCTTCGCAAGCGCAAGGTCCTGAATTCGATCCCAGGTAAAACAAAAACAAAAAACAAAAACCCCCCAAAAAACCTTGTCTGGGCCAGGGATTTAGCTCAGTGGTTCTGCCACTTGTCTGGCAAGCATAAGGACCAGAGTTTGATCCCCGGTACCAAAAAAAAAAACAACAACAAAAAAACCCCACCTTGCCTATCAAGTGTAATAAACCAATTCTTGAATTAGAAAATTTATCTCTAAAATACCTTGCCAAAGGAAGTTACATAAGAATATACTGTGGCAAAATAAGAAATAAAGTCATGGGATCCAGAAAGAGATCCAACCCAGACAACTAAAAAAGAGAAAAGTCTCAGTGAGATGGTACAGTAGGCCTGCAGAGCAACCAAGTTAGAATAAAAGACTTCAAGGCGGAATTAGCCAGTAAAAGAAACACAGATTTCATGACATCTTGGAGAATACAGAACAAGTTGAAGAAGCATATATAATAGAAAAAAGAAAGGCAAAACACTTAAGAAAAAACTACTTGATGAGAAATTTTAACCAAATAAAATGAAGTACCATAAAGATGTAATAGAAAAGCAGAAGAAAAAATACTGAAGTAGTTGAGTATTACATTCATCATAATATACAACTTAGGTATAAACAACTGGTAACTAGGGTTAGCAAATAAAAAAGTACAAATATTGATGCAGTGATGATGGTACTACTAACATAGCTTATAAGCTGAGAGGTTGATAGAAGAAGAAATATAAGAGTACTAATTTCCTAATTCTTCATAAAAGGGAGGTAAATCAATACCATGAATAATGAAGAAGGGGATTAAAATGCTCCAAATTCCTAGTTTTTTTCATAATCTTTTTCCTTCAATATTAGAGGAATCCTATAGAAGTTAGCATTGGTGAAAGAAATATTTATCTGAAGTTCAAGAATATCTGAAGTTCGAGGAGTTCAAAAGTTTACTATCTTATTTTTCTTCGTAAATAAAACTAAATGCAAACTTTTACTTAAAACAGAATGCACAGTATGATCCTATTTATTTGAAAAAATTTTGTGATTATCTTTCTATGTACAGTTGGGCTAATGCTAATGACTGCATTACTAAGTAGTAAAACTTTGAGTTAGTTTTTGCTCTTACTTTTATAATTTGTTATATTACTTCATGTAAAAATACAAAAATAAGTATCTTTCACAGAAACTTTAAAAAGTCAGGAAATTTTAATTGTTTCTACTCACCAATAGCTTTGGTATAATGTCTTGCTCCAAGCAGTAGTTCTGGGGCTCGATACCAGAATGTTACAACCACTGGATCCAAATCTGCTAAAGGCTTCAAAGGTGAGTTAAATAATCGGGCAAAGCCCATATCAGCTGTAAAATAATAAAAAATAGATAACATTAAGTAAATAAATTTTTATAAGTCTGATTAGTCTACTTTTACCATTGTTATTTAGTAAGATATGAAAAATGTGCCAAAATCTGGGGGAGAAAAAAACCCATAAAACATCTTACCCTTTTTAGAAGTCTAAATATGTAACACAAATTTGAGATCTTCCTTCTTTTGGAACTACTGTCACCCAGCTCTTTAGCTGGGTTATAGACAAGCTCTGTTGCCAGAGATCATGAGTGACCCTACTCCTCTAGGCAGATTTCTTTCTATCTGTCACATCATCACTGGGGACAGAGTTGCTGGGCTGCATTTTTATTCTTTGTTCCTGTCTCATGCACTGTCAGAGTAAGGCTTTCCATTATTTGCATCAATAAGATTGTTCACTGGTATAGTAAGAAGCTGACCATATGGTAAGTTAATATCACTATTTCCCCTCCTTTATTTGGGTTGAATTTCCCTAACTTAATTTTTAAGATCACAGTATTTCTTTAAGCTGGAAAAAACTTTAAATGTCATGTAACTGAACCATATACTTTTTCGGATGAGGAAACTGAGATTCACGATGTCACAAAATCAAACTCAGAGCTGGCACTGAGTACTAATACAGTTTGTGGCATTTAATAAAGTTTAAAATGTGACACAACTATTTGGATACCAGTTTTTGTCCAGCTAAACCATAACCTTCTTAAAGGCAAAAACTGCCTTTTTCATTTCACTATTGCTAACAGTATCACATATAGGGTCATTACACATACTTTTGCTTAATATTATGTTGAATGACCACAATTCATACCACCTATTCAAAAATCTTCAAGATTCATCCACTATTGGGCATGTTTCATTTCATTGTCCTATGTGTGTGTGTTCATATATAGTGATATTTAGCTCTCCTCTAATTATGGAAGGAAAAGAATTTTAAAAATTGGTAAAGAATTAAAATGAGTCAGATTACTAAATACTGGTTTACAGAAGAACTAATATTTCTTCTTAAATATGAAGGATTTAAGACATAATGTTGCCCAAACGTGATAACATCATATGGTTTACAGAGAAATATTTTAAGGTTTTCCCAAATCATACAGTAAAGAACACATTTATATCTACTCTTTGACTTTTCTATTTTGCATACCTTGAACTTGCATTTGAATTTGATGCCAGCAAATCTGATTGGACAGGCTCCTTTAGAAGACCACCTAAGGACTTATACATCTGATGACACCAGGATGAGAACTAACTGGGCTTTCTCAAACAAGGCCAAAGGCGTGGCATACACTGAAGTGTATCATATAATCTCACAACTAAAAATTTATAAAGTTTATATCATAAAAGAGTATATTTCAAGGAGTCTAATTAGAAATGCAAAGTGAGATTCAGGGGATTTATAAGGAAGAATAGTGAAAAAGGGTTAAGAACACCCAAGTTTTTGTTGTTGGTAAAGTGGTACAAGTCAGTAGATACTTCTAATGTATATTAAACCTTGCAATCAGAAATTACTATTAAGTTTATTACATGCTCTCACAACCCCGCTGTCTTCAAATTAATGTAATTTAATTAACTTCTTCTATACACACATAAAAAAACCCTAAATATAAGTGACAAACAACTTAGAACTGACAATGACAAAAGTAACCAGTTAGGATAAATAAATTTAGTTCTATCCTTACAGATTATTAAATAAGAAAAGAACACAAAATTTTGCCTTGATATATAAGAAAACAGCTATCAGAAAACATGTCAAGGTATAATGCCCATTAACTTTTTTCCCATCAGACAAAAGTCAACAACTACTAAAGAGTCTTATCAGAACTTAAGGTTCTGTACTTATCTGGCCCTAGAGTTTAGAAATCTCAATCTAGATGAAGTCTTTAAAGAAGTATATGCTCTCACCCAATGAGGTTCATGTGAACACAACTGATGACGGAATTATGAGCATACTGTATGCCCTTGTGAGTCAAGATGAGGCTGGCCTCTAACAGGGATAGAAGCCACTCACCTCTATAGGCTGTGTTTAATGAAGGCGGAGGTTTCTAGGAAACTTGCACAGCTTGTTTTATAATTAGAACATTTTAGTCGCTAAAGAACGTCTGACACTTTTCAAGAGTGAAACATATGATTTGGATCACATGGAACTACATGAATATATGCATTTTATTACAGCAAAAATTAGACATAATATGTCTGCCTGCAAAAGTTTTAAGAGTGCTACACTGTGACTTAGCAAAGATATAACATACCAATTTTTACTCTTCCTCGCTCAGGACCTTCACCCATAACTAAAATATTAGCAGGTTTCTGTGGAAACAAAATAGTGTTTTTTTTCAGTAGACAGTAGTGGTTTCTTTTAAATAGAAAATACGCCAATATAACATAAATCCACCTTTTAAAAACCTGATTTATTCAAAAATTAAAACCAAATATAAGAAGTCACCAAAGTACTGTACATGTATATATATGTATATATATGTAAAGCAGTATGCAAATTTCATGAAGGCTCAAATCTGGCACTATTATTCTCCATGAGGTAAGGCTTTTCATAGCCTTTTTATTGGCCTGCTTTCACTACTATGGGGGATCTGAAAGAAACTTAATGTTGAGGTTCCTTCTCTCTATTTCAATTATATAAAATGTTCTGTGACTTTAAGGAAAAATATATCTGTAAAAAAATCATTTAATATAAAGTAGCAAATTAATTACAGGCAAGGAATCATCTGATATCCTTTTATGGAAACTGTCAAGTATGTATTTATGTTTAAATAAGTACAGAGCAATTTTATAGTCTTTCATAAGTAAATCAGTAAAGTAATAGGAATTTTTTATGACACAAATGGTTTTGAGGTTTTTATTTTTACATAGTTAAAACTTAAAGTGCAATTTTATCAAAGTATTATTCTAAAATATACCAGATAAATTGTCACCTACAACCTGTTATGATAATATCTTCAACTGTAGTGTATTAAGAGTTGCTACTTTCTTGGGCAGAACTAAGAGGAGGGAGGGAGGGAAGGGGAGAGAGGAAAAGGAAGAGAGAGATCTTTGGTTTTCTCTCCAAACCGTGCTTACTATACTATCCTATCTATTCTATCTAATTTTAATTCTTCCAATCTGTTAAATAAAGTGAAGCTAGATTAGAATGTCTCTTCAATTACTGATTAAAACAACCCTGAAGTCAAATTAAAGATTTTAATGAAAGCTGTTTACAGTGGTAACCATTTCACAGGCTTCCCCAACCACATTTAGGGATGCTTCCTATGCTATTACTTATAATCTATAGTATATTATTCTACTAACTACCAAAGATCCAAATTACTTTTTTATAACCAGCACAAAAATATTTTCCTGAAATAGTAATAAAGAGCTCAGAGGTTAAAAATTCCTACAATTTTAAAGTTAAAGAAAGTAGGCATCAGAGATTAAATAAATTGCCCTAAGTATACTCAGCAAGACTGGGGGCAGGCTGCAGAATCTACTGTCTCATGACAGCCCAGAGACCCTGTCCCAGTACATCATACTGAAAATAATTTTATGTAGCAAGTTTTTGATTTAACATGTATTGCTGTAAGGTTTTATTCAAGGAAGAAATTCCAGAATCTCTATCATAACCACACACACACATTCTTGATCACTGGTGGTAACTGGCTAAGTACCAAAAGGTAAGAATAGCACTAACAATAGTCCCCGTGAGTTACACTCAGGTGCTGCCCAGACAGATAAAATTGCTTTTGAGTGTGTGTTAATCAACACTGGGGTAGTCTCTGCAGCTTCCAAGGGTCCAAGTTATTTCAAAAGTAAGCCAGATTTCTGAGATAGTGCAAAATGCTGAAGGAGAAGGCAGTATTGCTATTTGGCTAGGGGGAAAAGCTTCTCAGCTCAGATGGGGGCTGGCTCTGAACAACACTTTCATGTCTATGCTAGAATTTTCTCCCCTTAGCCAAACCCCTCTTAAATGCACTCCTCCCCTTAACTTCATTTTGAATCTCTTTACACCAACTCTATCTTCTGTACCACTGCCAGGGTTATCTAAAAAAAAGTATGATTACATCACTGTCTCAAACAGAACCTTCTACAGTAACATGGAAAATTATTACAAGATTAGGAAAAACAGTATAACACAAATTGATATATAGATGATGATCAGCTTTGAAGTGTCTGTAAGTAAGGATTAGAACAGAATTGTTTAAGTGATAAGGATATGGATGAGTTGTTCCAAAAATTTATTTGAATATTTTCGCTATGCTTTATGACTATAACTAAAGTATTATTTCATCTTTGATCAGTCCCTCCCTGCATCTTAAGAAGATCCATTCCTTGCAATGGGATACAGGTCACTTGCCAGCTGGTTCCCACTATCTCCAGCACCACCCTCCCCTCCTTCCCACTGCTTCTGCCCACGTACACCTTTCTGGCTTCTTTAACTAAATCATGACCTCCTTTCACACCATGTCATTGTTATATCATGTCCCAAAGGTCTTTTGCTTTGCACTAAATGACAAAATTTGATGGCCCCTTAATGACAGAACAGATTAAAACACCCTGAATATAAACAATTCATACCATGATGTTGCATGTAGTTAAAAGTTTAAGTCCCTTTACCATTCATCCCTCTACCACATCTCACTCTACCCTATTCCATATCCCAGTACTTTCTACAGAGCTGATTAATGCGTTTACTGTGATGGATTTTTCTAGAATTTCAGTGTTCAATCTAAAAAAAAAAAAAAATCTCTGCATCTTGCAAACAACACATACACAGATGCATCTCTCTTGCTTCTATTTTAGATGAAGTGGAAAAGATTTCTCTTACTTTCTTGGAACACACTTTCTTACTCACTTGGCAGCTGGGCCCAGATCTAAGAAATCCTGGGATGGGTGTAATAGGCCAGTCCGGCACTAGGCAAAGTGGGAAAACTGTGGCTTTTCACTCCAGATTCTCTTCATTCTAGACTTACTGGTCTAATTAAATTCCAAATCTGGGTTTGAGCACTGTTGAGGAATAAACAGATTCTGTCAGAATCTGACATGGTATTAAGAGTGTAGGCCCAAGCTCCAGTAAGTAAAAAATTTCTTTGCTTGGCAGCTATTACCTAGTGCATGATCTAAAACAGGTCTTGAGGCTGAAAGTCAACTAACCAGCAACTCAGTTTTCTCTCAACAAGGTCCTACTTCTAAGTGAAGTTAAAATTCAGTTTGGACATGATATATTTATAAAAGAAAATGACTCTAAGTTTTGTTTTAATAACACTATTTATAAATAAGGGATCCCTCTTCATGTTATTTCCCCTGGTAACATTTCATACATTTTAGAGCATTGCAGTCTGATTTAGTAGACAAATCTCTTTTTCTGAAATATAATGGAAATCAAGAGAAAAAGGCAGGAAAGGCCCTAGTGATTATGACTACTCTTATCAGTATTTGTGCTGCTGCTTAGTAGTAAGGGAGGTTTCAGAAGACTTGATAATTTTTTCAGTATTTAATGCCATATTCAAACAATATTAGCCAAGGAAATTAATTTAAGGGTTTCTTTCTTTGTATATCACAGCAGAATTTGGTAGAAGTAGTTTTTAGCTCTAGAGCTAAAACTTGCCAGTGTTAACAACTGAAGCAATTAATCATAACCATAGCTTTGGTAAATAATATTTTGGTTTTTTTATATGCTATCAAATACAATCACCTTGAAAGAATTCTGCTGTGACATTCTGATGAGACATACATTTTACTAAACTGTACTTGCTGCTAAGGAGACCATCAGTCCAGTATAACTTAAAAGTATAACACCATGGCAGCATCTTCACGTATAGGTATGTTAGCACAGAAACAACTATAGAACATGCATTACAGACTACAGAATATGCACTACTGCCTAATATAAACCAGTAAGATATTACTGTCTGAGGATAAGGTGTACTTCTTACTGTTTTATTTCTCATGTGTGTTGCGGGGGGGGGGGGATCTAACTCTGTAATGAAAGAACATGACTTGTTCTACAGTCTGATGGCTTCTTTTTCTGCTGCTGTGCTCACAAAAAACTCACTGGTATTTCCTAAAGCAGATGTTTGTATCGCAGAGGTAACCACTCTTACAGGAGGCTCATGTTCTCCAGAGTTTATGTGAGGGAGAATGGCACTCAGCAGGGATAGTAAATTGGTTTCATTTTTAGGGGGCAACTCTGATGGAAAAGCAAGGACTATAGAGAGTTCAAACTAGAGAAAGTCTGGCTGATTATTTATCACAGCTATCTGACATTGACATGGAAATAGAGAATGGTGACATGCCTGTCGAGTTCACTGGACGAACTTTATTCTTAGAGATGAAATGGATCTTCATGTTTACTAATGGGGCAGAATGGAGACTTTTAGTCAACAGAAAAATTTGATTCTTCATGGATCTACCTATGAAAAAAGACAACAATTCATAAAAAAATCACAGTCAGGGCTTTTCTTTGAGATTTGTCCAGAATTAAACCTTCACATATATTGTAAATAACACAGCCTAGTGGAAAACTGTTTAGTCACTGATGACTTTGAGTTTGGTTATGAATCATTTTGTACAGGTTCAGTATTCTTTAGCTGAATGGCTTGGAACCAGAAGTATTTCAGATTTTGGGCTTTAGTTTGGATTTTGGAGTATAAGCATATACATATACACACAGACATATATACATGTATATATATGTATATATACATATAATGAGATTATTTTTGGAATGGGACCAAAGTCTTAACATGAAATTTACTTACGTTCCATATACATACAGCCTGAAGGTGATCTTATACAATATTTTTAAGAATCTCATACATAAAAAAAAGGGTTGTAGTGTGGAATTTTCTAGTTATGGTACTATGCTGGTACTGAAAAAAAGTTTTAAATTTTGAAGTGTTTCAGATTTTGGACTTCTGAATGAGGGATGCTCAACCTGTACTAAAATACATACTGAAAGAACTAATTCTCTCTCTCTCTCTTTCTCACACACACAAACACACATACATCAGAAGTCCTATGAGAGTCAGAAGCAAGCAGCAAAGTCTTAAATGTACACATATTAGGTAATTTAAAAAGAAGCAGTATTAATGAAATCTTTTAAAAAGTTAGATTATAGATAAAAATTCAGTAAATGTGGTCTGGAAGATATTTTCATGATACAGTTTTTCACTTTTTCTTCAAGGCTTAGAAGTCTTTCCTTCTAATACTAAACTTAATTCAGAATTACTGGTGATGATCTTTAAATTGAAGGAAACATTATCAGTTTTCAATAAAATTTCTGGCCTTTCATTTAAAATTTAAAAGGAAAAAAACAT